TATATATATATATATATATATATATATATATATATCTAACTATATCCAACTATTTTACAAGCCTACCTTCCCAAGTGTAGTCTTTCAGCATAAAGTATTGCGGAAAGGATGCCCGCGATGACAAGCATTAGAGGATAGAAAATGGCCGTAAAGAAAGGTCCCTTCTCACTTGTGCAATATACTTGTAGATTATAAGCTAGGAATGATATCACAACCCCCTGCAAAGAAGCAAATTTACAAAATATTTTACTTCAAATTAAGACAGTGTACAAAACATCATACTTGTGATTCATGTCTTTGTTTTTAATCATCAAAACAATAATCTAATTCACGTGAATTGCGAATTCAGGGGCTGGAATTCAACAAACAAAAACGAAATGTGTGACCATCTGTCATGCAAAATTAAATACTTTATGGCATGCATTAATAGACTAAATAAGCTCATCACAAAAACAATAGTCTATTATAAGTCTTACGGAGTAGATAACAGCAGCGAGTTGCATATTCCAACCCAATTGCCAACAAGATTTGTTTCTTTCAAATATGAGAGCCTCCACTAAAGATTGCAAGAATGCAAAGCAGCACATCAAAGCATTCAGTGATAATCTTGCCGGGTATGCCTCGAAAACTACCCCCTGCAATATTTGACCATATACAAATCTCTGAAGTTAATATCATGCGAGTCAGTTGTCTTTTTTTTATTCTTTTATTTTTCATATTTTATTTGCAACATTGTGGCTTAATTTTGAAGCAAAAATCACTTAGTTTAAGCGCTTTAATTTTTTTTTTTTTTCATATCCTTTCTCTTGCACTTGTTCTCTTGCACTTGTTTCTGTTCTTTAATGGCCTGAAGAAACCGAATCAGAAAGTAGAGGAAGCATAAGATCTCATGAAGCTGCAAAAATAGTTAGGTGAGCAAATTATTTGATTTTTTACCTGAAAAACAATCCATGTACAAAAGATAATCTGGCCGGTGAGGATTACGAGTGAACCTTTGACCCAATCCTCATTAACAGCCTCCTTACCATTGCGGAAATGGCTTCCGTGGATTACTATCAAGGGCCTCTTAACAAATCCCTTTAATAGATGACCTTTCCAAAAGGTGAATACCAAAGCTCCACTTACACAGACTAATGTACCCAAGATTTTAGTCCTCCCCTTCGCAGTTCTAATTCTCACTTTCTCCATTCTGCAAGGAAAAAAACATAAAAGTAACCGTCCATTTTACATTTTAATCCACTCATTGTAAGTCAGAATTAGTTAAAAACATAGTTTACGTCTGTTATTCACCGAACCTCATACTTAATGGTAAGGCATGAAAATTTATGACACTCTTATGCTTCTGTATGAAAAAAAAAAACCTGAACTATGACTGATTCTTCCCTACCCTCATTAGCACAGCCAGGATGAATGTGAAAGCTGGAATCGCACTGCTCAAGGCACCAGCCACCGTTGGAGAAGTGTATCCAAGTCCAGCAAAGAAAATATTTTGTTGTATTGTAATCCCAACCAGCGCAAGCAAGAATATCTTTACAAGAATCAACAGCGAAAGTGGAGGCCTTTGTTTTCTGCATCACATACAGAAATCATTAAAATAAGTTTGGAACAATCTATATATTTTAATTAGTAATGATGGAATAAGTAAAGCTCGAAGACCTCTCAAGAACATAAGCAACTGGAGCGGAGATGACCGTGGCAAGGAGATGGCGGTATGCTACCAAGACATGGTGGCTGAGACCCTGCTGCATGGCAATCTTCATAAGAATGTTCAAGACACCATAACCTAACTGACACAGAATCATGCAGAAGCATGGAAAGTAAGTCTTGAGAAAGCTCATCTCTTCAAACTAAGTGGACTCACCCCCTTCATCGTCACTGTTAAGGAAGTATTTATATATTGGAAACCTGCACAGCAGTAATTTTTCTTTACTTTTATTATTTTGTCTTTTCGTTAGTTTTTAATGGATAATATTAGTCTTCTGCGCTTAGTATGTTATTGATTGTTAAAATAATTTGATTAAATTGTTGGAGTTTGATTCCTCCTCCATATTCTGCCAGATTTCAGTGGTTTGCAGTGAGGATGATGGTGGAGAGTTAACTTTTATGAATTCTGGATGCTTGCTGACAGTATATGTTCCTTATATAATTGTGCATGCTTCAATGGATTAAATTAAAATGAGTCAATATCTACTGCTGTTGGTCCATAGCTCTTAACCTCTTTTCATGTAAATTTGTCTGCATGTTAATGTGATATATTAGTAAATGTGGATTGAAATACGTGTGTTCCAACTTGTTTTTATGCCTGATGTGTGATTGAAGATTGGTGTTGTTAGAGTAATAGACTATCTTCTTAGCGTTGTACAAATATTCAGCATACACTCAGATAAAAAAAAAAAAATAGCTAGTAGAAACACCAGAAGTTCTTACGTGAAAAATCCAAAAAGAGAAAAAATTATGGAGCTTAGCTCAGTTGAAAAAAATCCACTGCAAACTGAATGTTAGACATATAATCATTTGTCACACAGGCGGAAAAAGATACACAATCTTTCGATCTACAATATTGATGCGCGAAGAATCTTATCCCAAGGAATGAGGGGCGGTCGATGGTGATGACGATTGTCAGTGAGTGATCTTCGATGGTGGTTGGTGGCAATCGACGGTTGCAGGAGTGATGCTGGACTTCTGCTCTTTCTCCAAATTTCAAGCTCTCTGTAGGCTTCAAGCTTTCCTCTCTCTTTCAAGAGAGGAATATGACTTTATTTATAGTCTCGGTTGCAATTAATGAAGGAATATAAACCAGTTTAATCAGACGGTCCGATGAGATTCCCTTAATTAGATGGTATTTGATGAATATTCGAGTGCCTTTGCAATGTCAAAATTAAGCGATTTTGGGTTCATTTGATTAGTCTTGTCGAGACGCTCGATTGGACTATAAACTTACCAGATTTGATATTCGTTTGACTTCCCAAATATGTTCGAAAAAGCTTCTAAAAGTAGTTTAATGGCTTGATCTGAGCTTGATTTGACTCGGATTAGACCAATTTTGGTATCATTGTGTTGAGTGTGGAGCCCAGTTATAATATAATAAATATATATGTTTTTTTGTCATTTCTGTAACTACTCCCGCCTATTTGCTTGTGCCTAAGGAAGGTGGGTCCCGCCACCATTAAAGAAGGAAAGGAAGTTACATTTGATAAAAAGTGCAACTTGTAGGTGGTTATATTTAAGTGGTTTGAAAGGAAGTTACATTTGATAAAAAGTGCAACTTGTAGGTGGTTATATTTAAGTGGTTTGAAAGGAAGTTACATTTGATAAAAAGTGCAACTTGTAGGTGGTTATATTTAAGTGGTTTTATTTTCTCTTCACGTAATATGCTGGAATG